CCCCGCCCCCGGCCCCGCCCCGGCCCCCCGCCTCCTGCCCAGACCCGGCACCCCGCCTCCTGCCCAGGTCCCTGAGGGTTTTTTTTCTTCTTGGCCCCTGGCTGATCTTTGTCTGTCAGTGGCCCCTGCCCCACAGAGGCTTCCCGCCCCTGCTCTAGCCTCACAGACGCGCCTGGCACACTGCGTGCATGTGAAGAGCCAGTCTCTGTCCTGAAGAGTGTGCTGTCTCCTTTCCGCAGTACAACAGGTTTAAGCTGCAGGTGATTGAGGAGAAGGTGAAGTCACCGACTGCTACGGTGTACAGGTGAGCAAGGCCCTTTGCACACCCGGGGGGGCCGGGCCGGGTAAGGTCTGTGACTCCTCTTCCTCCAGACTCCCGGCCCTGGGGTGAAAGTGGCCCATGCCATGTCCCAGTGCTTAATGTAGTCAGGAAAGGTCGGGGGAGGGAAGGGGACAGTGTTCCCTCTAAATTTGTCCATCCATGTGCAGAATAAACATGTGCACCAAGGCGTGTGAGGATGTGCACCGCCAGTAGAAACACAGGCTGTGGGGAACTGTGGGCGCTCTGCTAATCAGCTGGGGGGCACCTGAATCTCTCCTGGGTGGCTGCCCAAGAGCACAGCTTACAGGGAACGCTGGTGGAGGGAAGGGATGTGAACAGGTATTTAACCTAACGGGTGATGCTTACCGGTTAACCGCTACCCCGGAGCAGCCCCAGGCCCTCCGCAGCCTCTCACGGGGGTGTGGGGACAGACATGGGCTACCAGCTCCCAGCCTGCTCAAGCCTGCCGACGCCCAGCCCACAAACCCCCATGGCTGGGAGCTGGCAGCCCTCCTCCCCCGCCCTCTGCTGCGCCTTCTGGCCCCCCTCTCCTTCCCCGCATGGCTGCCAACTCCCTGTTAACGAATCAAACAGGCTTTTACGTCTGACTCCCACTTGAAATTCAGGGGCAGACGACCGGCAATGCCGCGTATACGCCTGTTGTGCGACAGTCGTCCGGGCCTGGAACGGTGTTTATCTGTTCATGGGTGTTTGGGAAGGAGGCGGATTCTCTGTCAGCACTTCCAGGGAGGCGCTCGCCGGGGTGCATTGCTTTGTAGCATTCACGCATCGTCCTTGGCTGCCAGGGGCGATGGAACCTGACCCAGCGAAGCATCTTCCACCCCCTGCCGCCCCCGGACTCCATGAATGCTGGTTTTCCCTGCAGCCCCTCCCTCTTTAAGCACCTCTGGCCCATATCTAGGTGCCACTCTCAGCCCACTGGCACTGTGGCTTCCTGGTACCCACTGTGTGGCCAGGAAATCCCAGCTCCTAACCGATGGGGGGCTGGTGGCAGGCGTTCCCTGCACGTTCGCAGGGTGGGGGGCTGATGGTGCTGCTGGAGAGCAGAGGCTTTGGCCTTGCCTCCGTGGGTCCGACGGCCCCTTTGGGAGGGAGCGCAACAGAATGGGCAGGAAGAGGGCAGAATCGGGCCCTTTGCACAGCTGGGAAGGAGCTGTAGGTGTGAAGCCGTTCTCAGACTTTGGCCCAGGTTCCTCTGCTGCACCCACCGATGTGGCATCCGAGTGCCATCGTGTGAGCCGGGTGCACTGCGGTGGTGCCTGAGAGCTGAAGTCACAGACCCCCCCCCCATTGTGCCGGGTGCTGTACAAACGGAGCAGAGAGGTGGTCCCTGTCCTAGGACCATACGGGACGCTCTGTTAATTCCCCTTCTGCGCTCTCACACCAGCCTGGCATTTCTTGCCCCACCCTGATATCCGAGGGTGCCAGGATGGCTGAGCTGCCTGCGAGACACCCGCCGTTTGCTCCTGGCTCGCTCTGTCTGTGCTCTGAGCCCCGGCTCCTTTCCTTTCCCCAGGTGCGGGGCGTTAATCGACCTTTGCCGAGGTCCCCACGTCAGGCACACGGGGCAGATCCGAGCGCTGAGGATCCTGAAGGTTGGTGCTAAGCCCAGCTGCTGACACTGGTGGGAGAGAGCCTGGTCTAGTGAGCACTGGATGCTGGTGGGTCCGGCTCTGTTTCTGGCTCTGCCACTGGGCAAGCAGCATGGATGTAGAGGAGTCTGTGCCTCAGTTTCTCCCAGCTGTAAAAATCACAGCAGAGGAGATGAAATGCTTTAATATCAAATGCCCACTATGGCTGTGCTTTGTCAGGACCTCTGGGTGGCTTAGGAAAGGCAGAACTACCACCCCATCTTACAGGTGGGGAAACTGAGGCACAGAGCAGACTCTGGCGTTTCATAGCAAGCCTGTCACTGTAGCACAGAACCCAGGAGTCCTGACTCTGGCCACCAGACCATGCTGCTCCGAGAGAAGTTTTTGCCTTTCTGGACCTTTTGGCGGGGTAGGCAGTTCAGCTGCATGTTGATTGCAGATTGCCTTATCCCAGCCAGCAGCCTGCGTGGGGCTCTCCCAGGCCCTTCCTGGGGTGCTAGCGCTCTGCCCCCTTCTCCACAGAACTCCTCCGTCTTCTGGAAGGGCAACCCCGCCCTAGAGTCTCTGCAGCGGGTGTACGGGATCTCCTTCCCCAGCCCCCTCCAGCTGGAGGAGTGGGAGCGGCTCCAGGAGGAAGCAGCCACCCGTGACCACCGGAGGATTGGCCAGGTAGGAGCTGGCGTGATGGCTGCAGGGTCGTTGCATGTGCATCTGGACAGCCCAGCCCGCTGCCCAAACGGGAGGGACAAGTGGAACAGAAGGCCTTGAGCCATGGTTACCTGGCCGATTGGAGACCCCTTGGGTTGGACAGAGGCCCTGCAAGAGCCAGCTCCCTGCCTGCCATGTCTCTCCATCTTCCAGGTCCCAAGAGAGGCTTCTGAACCTGCTGCTGTTTGCTCAGGTTTAGTCCGTAAGGGCCCGGGGTTTGGTCCCCTGTGTGGGGGGCGGTTGCGTGTCGACACCCCCTGTCCCGCCTCCCTCTTGCAGCGGCGCCCAAGGGACCTTCTCCAATTCCCTCCCCAGGAGCAGGAGTTGTTTTTCTTCCACGAGCTGAGTCCCGGGAGCTGCTTTTTCCTGCCCAGAGGCGCACACGTCTACAACACCCTGATAGACTTCATCAAGGTAGGGGCAGCCGTGCTGTCGGGCGTGGCCGAGGCTGCCTCGGCGCAAGGGGCTGGATTTGCGAGGTCCTGTCCTGCGCGTCTGTGACTCCTCTGCACAATGGCCTGTAGGTCTCCCTGTACCGATCCCCTCCGTGCAGCTGTGACCGTCAGCCCGGGCTCTGTGCCTCCTGGGAGCAGAATCACACCAGAATCGCCCCCAGGTCGCAGCACAGAGCAGCGCTCCCGCACTGGCTCCCTGATCCACAAGGCCGGGTGTTTGAGCCCGGCTCTGCTCTAGAATTCCTTGGGCAGGCCAAGGAGTTCATGTCCCTAGCCACGCAGATGATGGGGCTGTGCGCCAGGCTGGCCCAGGAGCACGGCTGTGCCTAGTTAACTCAGTGAGTTTGGGTCCCCAGTTCTCAGTGAGGTAGCTCGCGCGTTCCTTGGGGAGCATCCGTCGCCAGATCCCAGGAGCGCAGGCTTCCTAAGGGGCATCCGCATCCTGCTTGCAGCTGGCAAATAAACTGGGCCTATTGGTCATGGGTCCTTCCGGCGCTGTGGTGTGTGAGCAGTGTCAACTGGGGAATGGATTTATTCTCACCCATCACCCACCCCTGTGAGGCAGGGCAGAGCTATTCTCTCATGCTGCTGGTGGGGAAACAGGCACGGAGTGGCTGAGTGCCTGTGCAAGGTCACACAGGGACTTGGCAGAGAGCAGGAATCGAACCCAGCACTCCCATTTGCTAGGCTGGTGCCCTATCCCAGCCCGACGCGTCCTCTCCTCCCCAGCTAGCCACAAAGAAAAAGGGGGATCTGACTCCCCTGAAAACTGCAGGTGAGCCCGTGAGAGAGACGTGCACAGACGTCTCCCGCAAGGCAGCTCCCAAGTCTAGCCCCTGGGGCTGGGGACTCTCCTATTGTACCTCCCATTCTCAGCTGGACCCCAGCCCAGGAGACACTGGTGAGCGTCGCGCTTTGTCTCCGCTGCGGGGGAGACTGAATCGTCTTTTCATCTGATCTCGGCCACCCGACCAGCCTCTAAAGGACCGAAATCTGCCCCCACGGAAGTCCTCTGCATCCGCCTCCCCGCTCCCGTCTGCTTCTCAGCCTCCATCATCCTCAGGGCAGCCAGCGTGGCCCCTTGGGAGCAGTGTGCCAATGGTTTGATGTTCCGTGTCGCGCAGGCCCAGTAGTGCTCTTCCTGGCTGCGGGGTTTGGGCCCGTTTGCGCTGGGGAGGAGGCAGGGCTCAGAGCCTGACCTCTCTGGCTCACATCCTGGGGCAGGCTGGCTGTGCAGCAGCTGTCCTGTCTTCCTCACCCAGTGTCTCTTGTGCGCTCTCCCTGCCTCACCCAGCCTCTGTGGTTTTGAAGGGTAGCCTCAACACCGTGGCTGTTTATCCTGCTTGTGGACAAATTCCACTGCCCCAAAGCCCAGGCTTGCTGATAAAACCCGGCCAGACTGGTTCTCCAAGCTTCCCCTCTCCCATTCCCCTAAATAGGAGCTTTCTGGGTTCAACAGCCTGCTGCTGTTCCTGGTGTGGGCAGTGTGTGGGTTGACTCTGCCTACCCTGCGGCAGTCCAGGAAACCAGCATCATAAGATTGACCAGAGTTCCTGAGTTGCCAGTAGACCGATTCCCCACTGGTCATACGCTGCTGAGCCCCCTCCTTTGGGGAACTGGAGCCGCTGCATCCTAGAAATCAATGAACATAGGACTGGAAGGGACCTTGAGAGGTTGTGAAGTCCAGTCCCCTGTCCTTGTGGCAGGGCCAACCACCCTGTCTAACTACACTACCCCTGGCAGGAGTTTGTCCAATGGAGATTCCACCACCTCCTCAGGCAATTTATTCCAGTGTGTAACCACCCTGACAGGCAGGAAGTTTTTCCCAATGTCCAACCTCGACCTCCCTTGCTGCAGTTTAAGCCCATTGCTTGTCCTAGCCTCACAGGCCAAAGAGAACAATTTTTCTCCCTCCTCCTTGTAACACCCTTTTAGGTACTTAAAAGCTGCTCTCCTGTCCCCTCTCCGTCTTCTCCAAACTAAACAAGCCCAGGTCTTTGTCTTCTCGTATAGGTCATGTTTGCTAGACCTTTCATCATTTTTGTTGCTCTACCCTGGAGTTTTTCCAGTTTCTCCACATTGTTCCTGAAATGTGGTGCCCAGAACTAGACACAATACTCCGGCTGCGTGCAGAGCAAAGCGGAAGAATCGCTTTTCATGTCTTGCTCTGAATACTCCTGTGAATTCATCCCAGAATCAAGTTTGCTTTTTTTGCAAGAGTGTCACACTGTTGGCTCATCTTCAGCTCATGTCCACTGTGACCCCTAGATCCCTTTCTGCAGGACTCCTTCCTAGACAGTCGCTTCTCGTTCTGTGTGCGCGCCACGGATTGTTCCTTCCTAAGTGGAGCACTTTGTCCTTATTAAACTTCATTCTATTGACCTCAGACCATTTCTCCAGTTTGTCCAGATCGTTTAAAACGTTAACCCTGTCCTCCAAGCACTTGCAGCCCTGCTCAGCTTGGTGTTATCCACAAACTTTATAAGCGTCCTCTCTGTGCTGTGATCTAAGTTATTGATAAAAGTATTGAACAGAACCAGTCCCATAACTGATCCCTGCGGAGCCCTACACGTGATGCTCTTCCCGCCTGACTGTGAACCATAGAAGGGGTTAATCAGTCAGTTCCCAGACTCTCCCTGCCTCTCTCTCATCTTCCATGATCATGTTCTGAGGCCCCTCTTACAAGGAGGGTGCTACAGCACTTCCAAATATCTGTGCAGTGAGAAGAGGACTCAGAGGGACTGTGACAATAATCGTCTCTAACTTTTCTCAAAGCACACTACAAAGGAGGGTGGTATCATTATCCCCATTTTACAGGTGGGGAAACTGAGGCACGGGGTGTGACAGCAGCCTGGGTGGTGACGTTTTGCTCTGGTTATTTTCCGATTGCCAGAAAGAAAGGGGACTGGGTCCAAGACGGTCAAACATCTTGGTTTTCAAGATCAAATTTTGGGTGGTGCATCTGACCTCGGTCACCCCACCCTTAGAGTCACACAGCTGGAACCTCAGAGACACCTATTTCCACATAGCAGTGGACTTGCCCGCCGAAGGTGTCTGTATTCCATTGCCAGCCCACGGAGCACAGGCTGTTCCGTCCTTCCACAGCCCCAAGGTGGTTCTCAGAGTGCCTAGCAAGAAGCAAGGACGCAGGAGGTTTCCCCATGCTTATGCGACTGGCTTGTTCATGGACAGACCAGTGACCGTCTCCGCTCAGCTTTCCCCTCCCTAAGAACTGAGGGTCGCGGCAGAAGGCAGCGTGGGCTCTGCCGCGAAGGACAGAGTTCATAGAAACTGCTCCACGACAGCAGTGGCCTTCCTGCTGCAGGCGAGATTTCAAGCCGCGTCAGGCCTGTCGCCCCAGACGTCCCTGAGAACTCATCTCAGGCCCAGGTCCCGTGGCCGTAACTCCGTGTGCCAGGCTTCACCTGCATGGTGGATGTGTGTCGGCTACGCAGGCACCACCGGCTTCTCTCAGGACGTGTCCCTGCTCTGAAAGACCCTCAGCCCCGTTCTGCTGCTTGTAGATACTCCCACAGAACGACCCTCGAATGCGAGCTGCGGGGAAGACTCCACACACGTTCTGGAGCTAAGACGCACGAGTCGGGCACGCACAGCTTGTCACCTGCTCCTAAAGGGCTGATCTGTCAAGTCATGCTGCACCAGACGTTGCCCAGGCAGGCTTAATACCTCCCCTCCCCTGCCTCCCCAGCCATTAGCTCCACGTTTCATCATACCCTCAAATCCGCCTTTATAATTTGGGCCGGGAGCAGAGAGATACAGGCGCTGATGGCAGGACCCTTGCACACAGTTTGGCACAGGCTGGGTGTCCTTGCAATCTTTTGTCAACTGCAATATCTGACTTGCCTTTAAATCAGGTCAGTCCCTCCTCTCCGCCCCCCCCCGTCCGCCGAGCCCCGTAAGCCGTACTCCGAGCAAGGTGAGGTGCCTGCACCCCAGATGTCCTCGGGTACACTCCTCCTGCATAGCTAGAACAGAGGCGTGAGGGGACCCTCGGCCGCTCGTCACTTATGGGGACAAGGAGAAAGGTCAGGTCGCTTCTGCACAGAGGCTTTCGAACCGGATCTTTGCTTGTATCAAGCTGTGCGAGGAACGATCCAGCGTAGACTCTCCAGTGACAGGCGTAGCTCGCGCTGCGGGCACACGAGAAACTTCTGTGTTGGTTATACCTAGCGCCGCTGTCTGGGATTTGGTGCACATGCGGATCTGGCCTTACAGCATAGGGGAAGTATGACGCTGTGATGCTAACCATGCTCAGGCTGTCTTACAGCCAGGCTGCGTACAGGAAAAGTTTTTGTACAGGAAAAGTTTTTCCGTTAAAAGTATTTGCACAAAAGAGTGTCTACACTGGCACGGACGCTTTTGCGCCAAAGATATCTTTTGCGCAAAAGCGTCCGTGCCAGGGTAGACGCTCTCTTGCGCAAGAAAGCTCCGATGGCCATTTTAGCCATCGGGCTTTCTTGTGCAAGAAATTAACGTGGCTGTCTACACTGGCCCTCTTGCGCAAGAATACTTATCCCTAAGCAGGAGCGTGGGAGTATTTGTGCAAGAACCACTGATTTTGTACAGTACAAAGTCAGTGTTCTTGCGCAAATTCTCGCGGCCAGTGTAGACAGGCGGCAAGATTTTGCGCAAAAGCAACTGCTTTTGCGCAAAATCTTGCTAATGTAGACACAGCCCCACTGTGGAGGTAGACTTGTGCGATTTAGGATGCTGATGTGAGTCCGCAGCCGTGGCGAGAGCGTGTGTGTCTGTGTACACAAGCAATCGAAGAAGTGACAGGAGTTCTTGCCTTATGGTGACTCTGGTACTTGGACGTGTGCTGTCCGTATGTACTCCCTGATCCTTCCTTCGCTGCTATGGACACTGGTGGCAGACGGAGTCTGTATTAGCGAAGAAACGGTGATTGAGATCGCCCCCTGTGCCCTCAGTTAGAAGCATGAGGACGCTTGCATAGGCACAGCCCCCACAGACACTGCTGGCTGAATGAATCGGAACTGGAGTGTGCTGGGGATAGGTGCACCGAGCGTGGAATGTATCTGTCTGCTTGTGTGTGTGTAGAGCCGGGGGAGGGGGGACCTTTTTGGGTCAGGAGCCGCTGACCCACCGAAAAATCAGTCGGGGGCTGCACACAAGTGAGAAGCCAAAAACAAACCAACCCTCACTGACGTGGCCCCCAGCTGAGAGGGGGAAATTCAGTCCCCACATTCCCATACCAGAACCTAAGGGGGCCCAAGCTATTAGATTTTCTGTGCTCCTACCCTGTGGTGGGGCAGTGTGGGTGGGATGGGGGCTGGCGTGCCGTTGCAGTTTCCCCAATGCTGGGGGGGAGGGCTCTGAGACTCGGGAGCCGGATCTAGGCAAGCCAGGGGCCACATCTGGGAGAGGGGGAAATTCAGTCCCCACATTCCCATACCAGAACCTAAGGGGGCCCAAGCTATTAGATTTTCTGTGCTCCTACCCTGTGGTGGGGCAGTGTGGGTGGGATGGGGGCTGGCGTGCCGTTGCAGTTTCCCCAATGCTGGGGGGGAGGGCTCTGAGACTCGGGAGCCGGATCTAGGCAAGCCAGGGGCCACATCTGGCCTCTGGGCCTGAGGTTGCCTACCCCTGGTGGGGAGAGAGAGAGAGAGAGAAACCACACATCTTTAAGAACCTTGTTGTAAGGCAGTAACCATTTCTTTTAATCCCACTTCTGCCGCCATCATTCATTGTAGCCCTCTGCCAAGTCATTGCTACCTCTGCCTTAGTCTGCCCCTTTAAAGCAGGCTAGAGCTGTGCATGAGGGCTGTGCTCTGAAGATGTAAAGCCCCGCGTCATTATTGTGAAGAGCCCCAGGTCTGTGCTCCCATGCAGAGGCTACATCTGTGTTTTCTGCCGCCACTGCAGAGCGAGTATCGGAAACGTGGGTTCTCGGAGGTGGTCACCCCTAACATCTACAACGCCAAGCTCTGGGAGCTGTCTGGCCACTGGCAGCACTACAGCGAAAACATGTTCTGCTTCCCCGTGGAGAACGACACCTTCGCCCTCAAGCCGATGAACTGCCCCGGTCACTGGTGAGCGAGGGCTGCTGCCAGGTGGCCACTCAGCGAGGCAGATCTGTGACGGAGACGGGAGGGAGGGAGGTCTAGAGGGTAGAGTGGGGAGGCTGCGGGTCAGGTTCCGTTCCCAGCTCTGGGAGGGGAGCAAGGTCTAGTGGGCAGAGCCCGACTGACGGAGGATTGTCCTTGAATTTTGCTAGGAGCTGTAGAATAGTTGCCTCCCATTCAGCTCTCTTGCCAGGCGGGTGGGCGAGGGAGGTTCTACATCTTCCTAACGCGTGTTTCATATAAAGCCACAGCCGGCTGGCCCTGCCGCCTAGACCAGACATCCAGTTTGGTGCCCCATTGACGCCCAGCGTGGGGCGCCCCCTTGCAGCTCTGTCTCCCTGGCGCGTTTAGGCCTCGGCAGCCAGGATGGAGAGACCACGGAGCCGTTCAGCTGGGGCGTCCCCCGCTCCTGTGGGAGGCCCCTGACTGGTGGCTGGGTGGGAGCGATCCCCTTCCCGGCTCTCCTGCCAGAGAAGCAGCAGCAGGGGGGCTGGTTGGAGAGCAGCCCCCTGCCCTGTTGGGTCCTGCTGCCACAAAGTGTGTCTCGGGGACTTGGACAGGCTGCAGCCAGACTCTGACTTCCCCCTCCCTCCATTCTGCCCGTCAGCCTGATGTTCGCTCACCGGCCCCGCTCCTGGCGGGAGCTGCCCCTCCGCCTGGCCGATTTCGGGGTGCTGCACCGGAACGAGCCCTCGGGGACCCTGACCGGCCTGACCCGGGTGCGGCGTTTCCAGCAGGACGACGCTCACATCTTCTGCACCCTGGGCCAGGTGAGCGCGTGGAGCTGGGTACCCCCGAGGTGTGGGGTTAACTAACAGGCCCCCCAAATCTCCTTGGGGTCGGGAGCTGCCTTCCATCCTGCCCCCCAAATCCCCTTGTCTGGTGTGTTCCTTCTCCAGCTGGAAGGCGAGATCAGCGGATGCCTGGATTTCCTGCAGGCCGTGTACTCGGTGTTCGGCTTCTCCTTCCGCTTCTACCTCGCCACCCGCCCGGAAGGATTCCTGGGGGACCCTTGTGTGTGGGAGCAGGCCGAGCAGGTGGGGTGTGCGCCCCCTTTCCAGTGAATGCAGCATTGGTTGAGCCCTGGCCCGCGCGCCTCCTGTGCCCGGATACGTGGGTGTCCCGTGCTAAGCGGGGTCAATTGCTCTGCGGCTTGCACTGTGCATCTTCCTGCTGGTGTTGAAGCAGGGGACCTGGCTCTGCTCATTGAAGACCCCGGGGCAGCTTTTTTCAGAAATTCAGGTTTCAGAATCCAGGCATCCTGGTGAAATTCCCGCCTGCATCCTGGCCCTCGGAGCTGAGCACAAGGGCCGGCTTGTGATTAAGGCTCTCTGCTCAGGTTCTGAAGACCTGCATAATTCTGAGCTCTGCCACTGACTTTCCTTGGTGACCTTGGGCAGGTCACTTCATCTTTGGGGGAGGGGATTTGCTTCCTCTCCCTATGTGGCTGGTGCACATTAGTGATGGCTGATGCTTGCCCACCCTTGCAGGTGTTGAGAGGCTGATGTGTTTGGGGGTGAGAGATTTGACAGCTGTTTTCTGGGGCACAGAACAGCACATGAGGCATGGTGGGGGAGTTGCCTGGAGTTCAGACTGCACGACCGACAGGCCTCCTTGTATGCTGCAGCGGCATCAGATAGACCCATCTGCTCTAGCATGGTCTGCCGAGGCAGGGTCTGTCTGCTGGTCGGCAGGGTGAAGGCTGGTGGCTTCTTGGCTCGACCAGTGACTTTCAATACTGAGTCTCCTCCGCTCAACCCTGTGGCTGGCTGGCTGGGACTGCGTATCCAGGAGTGACCCGGGGCAAAAGGCATCTCTTCTCCTAACCCCCCCCCTTTACCTCCCAGCCATTGGAGAAAAGCCTCAATGACTTTGGGCAGCCGTGGGAGCTGAATCCAGGCGACGGAGCGTTTTATGGGCCCAAGGTTAGTGAACCCTCGAGCCGCCATCAATGGTTGGAGCCAGGATGCCTGAGTTCCCAGCCTGCGTCTGACTTGCTTTGCCTTCGTGGACGGGTGGTGGGCGTCCCTGCTTTCTGCCTCAGTTTCCACTGGGGATATTAAATATCGGTTAATTGACTAGTCGATAAACCTCATGAATTCTTATCGGTTAGTTGACTATTCTGTAGTCCCCGGGGGTGGGGCCGGCAGCCAGTGTGCTCTGGCCCCACACCTGAGGAGTCCCTGCCACCTGGGGTGCCAGGTGGGAGCTGGTCTGCCAGGGGAGCCATTTAAAAACCAGCTCGCCTCGTAGACCAGCTGTCTGTCGTCCTGCGATGCTGCCTCTGATACAGAGGCAGCAGTGCGGGGTGGCTGTAGACCCTGTCTAGGGGGTGGGTCCTGAGCTCCCAGACCCAGCGTGAGCTGGAACTGAGCCGGGCCGCCTGGCTCCTCATACACTTTAAATACAGGGCTGCGGCCGGGATAGGCCCCAGACCTGGCACAAGCTGGGACACAGCTGGGCTACTGGCTGAGTGGGAGACAAAGGCGTGTAGTCTCTAGCAGTAACCGATTAGCTTTGCTGATCAGTTAATCAGCTGCACCGTTACATCCCTAGTTTCCACCCTTGCAGCGTGAGTGTAACGACTCTCCGCTGTGAAAAGCAGGAGGCCCCATTGTGATGCTCTCTGCCGACTTCCTGCCTAGCTCAGGCCGGAGAAACCTGCCCAGTGATTCCTGCGTCAAACCCAGCACTTGCTCTTGAGCTAGAGCATCCGTGATCCCGGCCCTCTGTCGGGAAGCAAGTGGCCAGCTCAGCACAACAGGTTTATGAAGCTACACTCGGGGGCTAGAATTTTGGTTAATATCTACAACTCTCCGTCCCCCCGGGCTCAGCTCATTGCAGTGCAAGGTTCCTCGATGAATCTTTGCAAACGTGGCTCTCTAAGGACCAATGGAGCAGGTGTTTTAAATGGCTTAAGGCTGAGATCCCAGCCCCACTGGAAAACTGACTGGAGTGGGGGGGATCCCTTTTGAAAACAGTGTCCGAGTGAAAACTTGGGAGGTTTGAAAAGAACTCTTCAGAGGTAAATTCAGGGCTGTTTGCTGGGAGTGCATCCCATGAAAACGACTCTCTGCAAACTCAGGGCTGCCTCTTGGTCCAAGCACACAATCAGCCGTATGCTGGGTGTTTCCTGGGACTTAATCTGCAGCTGGCGCTGAGATCTGTCGCCTGGGCTCATGCCTGCTGGTCAGGAAATACCCCAGAGATCCTTGCTCCTGC